AATTTTTCAGTTTTTTATTTGTTAAAAAAGTTTGAAATATCCAATAAATTTCGTTCCACTTCATGATTGTGTCCCGCTTGTTGTTGATTCTTCACAAAAAAATTACAGTTTTATATCTTTATGTTTGAAGCCTGAAATGTGGCAAAAGGTCGCAAAGTTCAAGGGGGCCGAATACTTTCGCAAGGCACTGTATTGTTGTAACCATGCAAAACGAAGTACTGTACAATTGCAAGAACCTTCTCAGATACAGTACCAAAGGAACTTGGTACTGTATCAGGCTAACTGTGTCTCCCTTCTTCCAGTCTTTAGGTAAGCTAAGCTAACTTTCTCCTCATTCTGTCTTTGTGTTTGAGAGAGGTATTAATCATCTCATCAAGCTCATTGCAAGAAAGCAAATAAGAGTATTTCCCAAAATGTCTATTTCTCTAATCTTGATTCTTCTTGATTTTCTGTGATTTACTAAAAGTTCCTTGTATTGTACACACATCTTTTAGTGTAATAATGGTTGCAGCTTTCTGTTTCTCACTCTTCCTTCCTCTTCCACTTTCTTCCTAGACTTTTCTTTTCTCCCCTTTTTCTTTCTTCCACACCCTCCCACCTTCCCTCATAGTCATCTCTCTTCCCCTGCAAACTTCTGATCTTAGATCACCTCATCTCTCTTCGTTCTTCTACCGAACTCTGTCTCGTTCCTCTATCTCTTGTTGGGTGACAGATCTCTTAAAAATTTTCAACTCCAAAGGACTTAAGGCAACAACTCCCACAGGCAGATTCTAATGGAAAGACAGGCATAGAAGAAAAGAGACCAAATAAACTGCAGAGAGAAAAGAGAGTGAGAAAGAGTGAGCAGATAGCAATTTTATTTTCTTCTTGCCGCTGAGTGCCCCTAGAGATGAAGGATCTTTGATGTGTGATGTTTCCGTTCTCTACCTCCTCCTCTCTTTTTTTCACTGTCTTTTCTTTCTTCTCTTGTTGTTTCACATCCTCCCTCTCCTTTGTTTGTGTCGTTATTTATTTCATTTACTCCTTCCGTCTGTCAATTTGCATCCAGCAAAGACAGAGGAAAGTGGAGGGGTTGGGGAATAGAAAACTTTGTTGCTTTCATAAGCAAGGCAAGCCAGAGCTGCTATTCTAAACTATGGCTTTGGAGTTTTTGAAGTTGACAATTATTGGTGCTGGATTGACGTCTGTGCATTCATATATGTGTGACTGTGGGTGTGTGTTATTACAAGTGTTGTATTTTTACTGAGTCACTGTTTCGTTCTTTCTCTCACAAACGCCATATATTGACACCCATGCACACTTATTTACACGTTCTCAGTGGCCTCTGGCATTATTCAGTGATGTACAGCTTTGGGTGTGCGCCATATGGATGGTCTTTTGAGTTATTTCCAGTCTGGAGGTTTTGTAATAGACTTAGACTCCATTCCCTACATACACACACACATACAGAACAAAGTTTTTCCATTTGTGTCCAGCTGGCATCTTCCATGCATAGCAGTGCACCTGTTCTATCAAGCTCTAATAATTTTTCTAACAAGATGCCAAACTTTTGTCTCCATCTGGTGGAATAAATTTCATTGTAGTCTGAAAGTTAACCACCCCTCTCAACTTGACTATCATTTAATTGTCTGAGTGAAGTTCTTTCTAGTCAGGTTGTGTGTCAGTGCTGAAGTTGGAAAGGTAGCTTTTAAACGTTTCCCCTTAATTTAGATGCATAAATACAATAACACAATATTTTCATGATGAAAAAAGTGTGAAAATATCCATAAAATATTCTCAGACCACTCGTGCTAAAATATATTTGGTTCTGTTGTCATTCAAGGTATATTGTTAAAAACAATAAGGGGGAACATGTTTCATCAGATGAGTGTTATTTTCTTCATTTTCTGGTTTCCTGGTAAATGAGGTAATGAGGGTTACAGGCCCATTAGGCTGCATAAGTGGCTATAAATACTGTGTTTTGTCTTATACATGCATATGTGTTACATTTTTAAGGCTGCTATGAAATGTGACACTGGGCCCTAAGAGATTGCAAAGGGGGCTATGATAAAAGTTTTATTAGTTTGGCCTTCTGATTTTTCTTTGCACTTTATCTGCATGTGTTGACATGAGTAGCTAAATTATTTACTCCTCTTATTATGCCTCAGTAGGATCTACAACTGACAGTGGCAGCCTCCTCCTAGGGTGAAGTGCTGCCCTATCTGCCTTTTGAAACCTGCAAGACGAAGTCACCGACAAAGCAATCAGATCCCACATGGGCCCAAGCGCTCTTTGAAAAACTGAACAGCTTAAACACAGTAGTAGAGAATGGAGGAGTAGTCTGCATGTTTAAATGTCAGCGGGATTAGTGTGTGTGCACGTGAATGAATATAACTTGCTTTAAATGTGCCAGCTGACTAATGAGATTGTTTAAATGAATCTTTAGGATATAGTTGATAATCTAATAGACACGTTAAAGGTTAAGAGCACCAGACAACTTCAGTAAGTTCAATATATGTATCTTGGAGATGCATTGAAATCATAATAGAACGTCCTTCGAAGATCTGGGTGTATGGTTAGCTTGTGTTTGATCATGTTGATGCATTTCCTAACATCCTAACTAGCAAATCAAAGACAATACCATCAGTATGTATCTCATCTGCAGCCCCAACAAAATCATACCCCCGTTATCTCCCCATCGATTCTGAGCATCGACTCAGCAGATCAACACGCTGCATATGTGTGAAGCAGCTGTGCAGAATGATCACCAATAGGCCAGATGTTGCATCTTGCACCTCAATAACAGCAAAAATGAACCAGATTGATTAGAATCCCATCTGCTGTGTTAGCACAGTGTTAATAAACAGGCTGCGGTGCACTCTTCATTAGAGAGAGGCTACCCAAAGCCTCTCCCAGGTTATATCAGAGGAGCTGAGAGGAAGAGGTGAAGCACGCGCCTGCTGAGTGTTGGCACTGCTGAGGTAAAGCATTGCCTAAAGCAGAGAAATGGAAGCGAGAGGCAAATATAAAAAGAGACGGTCAGACTGGGAAAAGTGGGCTACTGTAATTAATTAAAATGCACATTAAGGCAGGGGAAATGGTCAAGCATGCTTAAGAGTAGTACAATCAAGCATTTTTCAGAAGAGGTTAAACAGGTAATGTACTAATGCTCTTCAGTGAGTGTTAAGTGAAACAAGTGAAACTGATCAGTTTTTAAAAATTTACAAGCCAAGAATTCTTGTAAATTATATTGTTTTTTCACAGCAAATGTCAAAGTGGAGCTGCAATAAAAAAACAAGCATCCTTCATCACCAAGATTATTTTACCATAGATTTTTATCATTAGTATAAATAGGACAGGACTTTTGGTTTACTAATGCCACTGCAATAAAAAATTTTGCAAATAAAAAATGAAATGACCCCCACTCCACCCCACGACACACACACACACACACACACACACACACACACACATGTTATCACACCCATTTAAACCCCATACCTCCATCCACCATTACCTATACTGCTTATGGTTTGTGGGGGGGCTGGAGCCAATCCCAGCTGAGAGGCGGAGTCCACCCTGGACAGTTCGCCAGGGCTCATACTTAGACAACCACACACACTAACATTCACTCCTACGGGTAATTTAGAGTCACCAATCAAGCTGCATGTCTTTGGACTGTGGGAGGAAGCCAGAGTACCCAGAGAGAACCCACGCAAGCACTGGGAGAATATGCAAACTCCTCACAGAAAGGCCCCAGGTGGGGTAGGACGCAAACCCAGAATCTTCTTGCTGTGAGGAGATGGCGCTAACCCATTTAAAACCCCACATACCCAAAAGGAGTTCAGTTACAATAACAGCAATACTGTTACAATAATGTTCTTTCATATATAACCGTGTAACCAGCTTTCTGGCTTTTCCACTGCAGAAACTTAATGGCCCAGAGCCTGGAGCTTCCCACATAACCTTTTTTAACAGCCTGTAAGATTTTGTCCTTGCATTTCTTTTGTGTTTTACAATCCAGAACATTGTGTATTTGTTATACATCATTGGAGGGGTGACACCGTTTCAGATATACAGTATATCACCGAAAAGATCATTACATGGAGTGATGCCCCCTTTAAAATAACTCCATCAAAAGAAAGTGGAACTAACACAAAGTAGCCTCTAAAAGTGAAAACAAATCTATTTCCACCATTGAGCATCTTAGTGTTTGTTAAATTCAAACATTCATGCTGTGAGGAAAAGCTGCACTTTGTGTGTCTTTGTCCTCTCACATGCACACAAATCAGGGAGCAGCCCAGGTTACTGTAGTGCATGTGTTCAATTTCTGTTTTCAGCAAGTATGGTTACATGAGCACATGTAAATGCACTGAATGGGTGGTGAAAATGCCTATCTGCCAGTCTCCATCACAAAATGCATTGGAATCTTTATTGGACCCCCACATCAAGAAAAAAACATGAACATTTCTTTTTCTAACTAGAAGAAAACTCGTATTAAAGGCAAAGCACACCAGCTGATAACTGATACCTGACATTTAAATGTGTTGTTATGAAGGGAATGTATGACTTTTTTCACTGTTCAGCATGACTAGATAATAAAAAAAATGTTTTATGACACTTTTGTCTTTTTTTGTTCCCAGATCTGTGACAAGGAGTGGCATTACTATGTCATCAATGTAGAGTTCCCAGTGGTCACACTCTATGTGGATGGGGTGACTTACGACCCCTACCTGGTGACAGACGACTGGCCCATCCACCCCTCACAGATTGACGTGCAGCTGACAGTCGGTGCCTGCTGGCAAGGTAAGTGGTCAGGTAGTGATGACTACAATGTAAGAGTAGATAATCAATCTATTTAGTTTGCTTGTTTGTAGAGTTTAACCATCTTGTAGTGAAACACTAACTGAAACAAAGTTTAAATCTAAAAGTCACAGTTAAAGAAAGATATTTTGGCCATTCTGCTGATTAAAAACCACTTTTATATGTGAGCAAGTTTTAAGAATATGAATAATATTGTCTGAAGTATTATTACTGAGGGAGTCACTGAGTGTTGAGCATGTTCTTTGGCCTTGAATGAACAGTGTAATTAAGAAGAGCACTTAGTCTGCCTTTGACAAATGATTGAACCAGTCTGAATGAAGGCGTATAATTAAACTGTCTTCTGAACTGATAGCTGCCACTAATTGCACAAGAGTAGGGGAAAGGGCACTTTTTCACACAGTACAGCATACTGTTGATTTGATAGCCCAAATGAGACTGCACAGCGATGCTTAGCCTCAGATAAAGAGTAAAATATTGTTCTATGTGGGAGCAGGAGCAGGTCATCTTGTGTCACTTTCATCGGCCGTGGTGAGCCCCCCCCTCCTTTTGGAGGATTAGACAGGCCTTGAATAGAAGCGGGAGTCTGGAGATGACTTCTGCTTTTCTATATGGGGCCTAAGCCTCAGTAAAGCATTGTGAAGATAATACTGAAATCTTAAAATAAGCCAATAGCCACAGCAGATTGCCCTTTGAAAGCACTGAGATTTAAGTGTCCAGCATGTTGACTGCAATCATGTTGTAAAGGTGAACTCACTTATTGTCTAAGTTCCTCCTGAACCTCTGCTCTGTTTTTGAAACAGTGGTGAAAAGATCTTTTAACTTTTTGTTACATATAGACACTGTTAAATGATGATTTCAGATTTTGGACAGGAGAACATAATAGTGTGCAAATACAAAGGTTTTGACAGTTCAATACACCGTGGTTATATTCTGTCCTGACTGCAGCAAACTAGTATAACTCAATATCAAGAACTGAGATATTTTTCTAAAAACACAGTTCCACTGTGGTGTGATGAGATGTCAGTGTGTCAAACTTGCAGTGAAACCTGCCGGTGTATTACAGTAACAGGCATTATGAACTTCTAACACTGTGTCTGTATCTTCAAAGTGCGCATTTGTACATTTTCATTCTATTTTCCAATGGAAGGGTTACCCCAAGCCATCATTCTTCCTTCACCTCCGGGAGTAAGCACTGGCTGTGCAGTTTTCACACAGTCAACCTATATTTACTCTCTGACCCAGTGGAGTGTTCGTGTTCAGAAGTGTGTAACAGACAGTGAAGAGCAACACTTTCATCTCATCTAGTTCTTCTTTTTCCTCAACTGTAATCACACGCAACTGCTCTGCCTTCCTGGCTTCACAGCATGAAGCTTACAGGAAGAAGTGCTGATGATTATACGCGTGCACAGATTGAAACATAAATATCTGCCTATACACATTATAATGAATAAACAGGCACGCAGGCACTGATAGAGGCACATGTACAATAAATCACAAAGTAAATGAGAGACGATCTCTCACACTTCTAAGTAATGATCCTATTTCCAGCTCACCCATGCCTCTCCAATCTCATCTGTTGCACCTTTGAAAATGACAAAAATAAACCAGACTAAAAAGGAGAGTGTAGATCTATAGACCAGGGGTGGCTGCACAGAGCAACCAAAGAGAGCTGACACCACAAAAAAAAACCCCAGCCTCTGTAAAGTGGAATGATCAGCGGTTTTATCACCCATATCATTCCCACTCGTCTCAGAAATCCCCTCTCCTCTGCTTCTTGTTTTACCCTCTGTCTGGGACCCTTAATGGTTTCTCTGGTTGCAGTCTAAATTGATAACATCTGTCAGGGTCGGACTGAGTAGATAGGTGGACATTTATAAGAGAGGGTAATAAAAAGGAAGAAAATAGTAACTGACTTAAGCAAAGAAAGCAAGAGAAGTAAAAAGAATGGGTTTGATATACAAGAATCCAAATGTAATCTTGTGATAGACTGTATTCCCAGCGAAGGTCAGACTGCTGACATGTGAGATCAGTGTCTATACAGGATCACACACAGGACTGTATTTAATGTGTATATTCCATAACTACAGCATAAATGTAGAACTGGTATGGTGCCCCAATTTTACAGCACATGGAATGGAGTGCTCACAGACTGACTGTTTACTCGTTTGTCAAGTTTTCCATTGCGCACAGTACATAATACAGTTTATGGCGATAACTGTGGTAGATTTATCACTCAAAATTCCTGGTAAGTTTTGAAACAATGGGCCCTTAATGTCAGCAGCAGACACCAAAAGCAGTCTTCTAATTTGTAGCCTAGGTCGATTTTGCTGCTGAAATGTCACTGGTAGATTGTATCAGCTGTAGATACCTAATTAGGCTAGTGTTATCTCCAAAGGTGGTTGAAAATGCATGATAATTATATACTGTAGGAAAAATTTTATTAAAAAAACGATGTAGTTACTTAGTCGTACTAGTATATACTGCATATGGCTATCTATAAAATCAACTTTTTTGTGCACAGTTGACAAATTTGATCGTATTTATAGGTTCACTTTTAATATTACAAGACAAAAAGCTTTTGGGATATGCACAAAATATTTTTGGCAGTTTTACATTATAATATAATATCTTGGTTGGTCATAACTTGAATAGCCTGAAATTCCTCTATGCTGTATAACCTATTTTTAGTGTGCCACCCCAGTATTTCACTGGCCCCATTTGGCCCTCCCACTAAATATTTTCTGCAGAGACCACTGGTCAAGGAAACGCTCTCCGACTGACCATAATGTGTCATGTACAGACGCTGCAGGTCAGCAGTCATAGGAATGAGTGCAACTTAAAGGTCTGCAGTTACTGTAGTCCATTTCTGTCACATTTTCACACCAGGAAAATAAGGTATGATAAAGCATTTCCAGTACTGGTCACCTATGTCTCCAACTACACTGACTGAGCTTTTCAGACCCTGGTAACATCACTTAGGCCTGTGATACATGTGCCTGCACCATCATCAAGGAATTAGGGTACTTGGGTCAAGATTGGCAATGTCTGATAAAATGTACCCAAGGGGTTTTGAAATGAGTATTCCACAAATTCCAGTTACTGTCAAATTATACAGAGTACTTCTTCAGTCACCAACTGATTGCCTGGTTCAAATACCAAAATGATCTCTTCCAGCAACCACTTAAAAGGATGTCATTGGGTGCGTTGGAAGTGAACTTACCAGCATTGCTTGGTAATTCTACAAGCAAGGCTTACCAAGCAGCAAATCCAGTTGGGTATTAAAAGTGTCCCTCAGCTAATGGCCACCATTTAGTTATAATTGTCTCAGCTGTGTAAACACTTCTAAGTTAAACCCTAAAGGTTTATCCTCAAGGTTTTGCAAGAAAGGCCCTATTATCAAGGATCTAAGAAGAGGTCTAGTTCATATACGTGCTTTTATACCTTGGATCATTCAGCTCTTTTGTATTCTCTGACTGATGGTGATTTAATAAAATTCAAAGTAATGAGCGCATATTGAGACCAGCTGTGTAAGCAAAACGTGTCCAGGGGGACTTCGGCTTTTCAGGAGATATAAGCTTTACTCTGACTCTGATATCTGCCGCAGCCAGTATTGCTTCTGTTTGTGCACAGTCGTTTCTCTTATAAACAAGCTAGAACCATTGTCAGCACTCAGGCTTGTAGGTTTTGAAGGTCAAGAATAAATAGATAAAACACTCCTGTTTTGCTCCTGACAGTGCTGGGGTATGTTTTTGTTGTTTTGGTTTTTTTGTTGTTATTGTTTTGGTTTTTTTCACAACAACTGAGACCAATTTCAGTGTTACTGGTTTAACCTTCGTCCCATCTTTTCACCACCACATCTTCCAGGTCCCGCATACTACCCTCTGGTTCTGCCATGGGCATCCATCTGCCACAGCCTCACCAAATGCTTATATAGTCTGTCAACTTGTGAGGCATACACAGTGTTAAAATCTAATTGTAATGAGACAGTGTTTTTAATTTTGAACAGAGCTGTGAGGTGCCAGACTGGCTCCATTAAAGTGATTAGGTGGGAATAATCTGGTAAAAAATGGCAGAGCTGGATGAACCAGTTACACACGTTTGTACAGGGAGCCTCTAGAGGTAAAATAATTTCTACAACCTGTTACTCATAAGCATTGGGTTGATGCAGTCCAAGTTACCTGGCACTAAAGCTATTTTTATTCTGATAAAATTAGTTGTGTCTGGGGGCCTACTCAATGCATAGCCAAGATTCAGAACCTGCAATTGTCCAGGCAGAGATCATACTCCAGCCAGGTACAAAGGTCTACAGAGGCGTGCACTGGATGTTGAGGGTAGCTGTAAGATTAGAGGGTAGTTTTGACTAACATAGGCAATTGATTCCAGTTCCACTACGCTTCTTCAACACAGTGCATGTTAAATTGAATCCACTATAGTTTGCTTGTAGACCAGGCAAAGGTGTTGATGATGATGTGACAAGCACTCTTTTAAATATGGTTTTATCACACCTATTGAAAGTCTACTGTCTAATTTTCTAATTGACTTTTCTTCGGCTTTTAATTGTATTCACCCTCTTATCCTAGCTGAGAAGTTACTTTTTATAATATTGACCCTGGTTTAATCTGTTGGCTGGTGGATTTTTTTTTTTACTAACTACAGCATGTGAAGGTTAACAGCATGTTATCTGATGTTTTGTTGTCCTCCACCGGATTGCCTCCAGGTTGCCTCCTTTCACCACTTTTGTTTTCTTTATACACTAACTCATGCCAGAGTCAACATGAGAACTGTCATATTATCAAGTTTGCAGATGACTCTGTTATTGTGTCTCTTCTTGGTACAGGTGGTGACCCTCTACCCTGGTTGTGTCCGAGCTGTAGAATAGTGCAAATCATCTTTTCTTGGAAATTAATATGACCAAACCGGGAGAGATTATTACTGATTACCATAAGACTCAAGTTAACATCTCTCCTGTGATGACTGATGGTCAGGCTGTTTAATTAGTCCAGTAGTACAAATATCTTGGCACAGTTATTGATAACATAGCTACCAACTGTAGATGGATGCCATGAGTAAGAATTTATTTTTATACTTTTTTTTATTTGTTGGTATGATGGTCACTTACCATCAAGAATAAGAGCAGACTGCAGGGGATGGTTAAAGTGTGGTAAGATTGCAGGCGCACCTTTAAATAACCTGAACCAGGCTCGGACTCTTAGGAGGGCCAGGTCAATCCTGGAAGATACCAGTCACCCCCTTTTCAACAAGCTTGTGATGCTTCCATCTGTTTGCAGATTCAGCCTGCCTAACTGACAGTTTCAGAATTTATATTGGTTCTGGTGGCTATTTGCCTCTTAAATGGTTCATTATAGTCATTAGTGTATGTTGGTTTGTTTCTGATTGTGTCTGTCTGTGTACTGCTGGCTGTACAACAAATTGCCTCTTGGGGAATAATAAAGTTACCTTTGACCTTGACTTTTGATATCTGAAAGCTTACTCTTGTTGGTGATGGCTGTTTACAACAGTGGGACTTGAAACTGTTAGATGATTGGACCAACTCCCTCATTTATGGTATCTTCAAATAGTAGCGTGTCTGTAATACATAGTAAACAGACAAGCAGGCACAAAATAATAAACTCAGCAACTGAACAACTGTCACTTGGACTATGGAAGATTATGTGAGAATTGTTGTCTTTTAGATAATGAGAACTGTATACACATTGCTAAAGCTGAAAAATAACTACCCTAGACATATAAAAAATAACACTGTTTGCTGTTTGACTCTAACAGTCACTTGGGAGCAGGTGTACGAGGGCACAACGTGTCACAGAAGTGTGCTCAGGCTAGACAGATAAATTGATACAGAGCCAGAAAAAAGACTTCTCTGTATGCACCCTATCTCTTCCTATCAGTCATTGCTCCACTTCATCCTCTAAATGCTTTTGAACATGTTTGGATTTTTGATAACAAATGTTATTAGAAACAGGGATGGTTCTATACCTTTAGTGCTTTGGTGGATTATTGCCAGAACTTGAGTAAACTAGAGAGAAGGGCCAGGGAAGTGAGGATATAAATAAAAGAAGGGAAAGGAATGGAAGGGTGATGTTTTGATACCAAAAGCTAGTAACCTTTCAGCTAATGAGTGGTTTGGAGACTCCTCTTGCTGATATTGGCCTTTACAGAGTTCAGAGGACATACTTGAAATGTGCTGATTCTCTTCCCTGCCAGTGTTGGCTAACTGAGTAGCACTTGCACTTTTATAGCATCACCTGTCGTTTTGTCACAGAATGGAAAGATTCATTTTAAAACCAATTAAAGCCATAATTCCAATTGTAATCATCCAGACTCATAATTAAAGAGTAGGCAAGGACTAATAATTTGAAGTATTGGGACGTAAAGGTCCACAAACTTGACACCAAAGTGTTGATTATTATAAAGTAACTGTAACCCAAAATGTATCTCTTACTACTTTTGCTGTGGCTTATTATATTCACTTCATTAAAACTAGAGTATTGATGTCAGTTTATCCAAATAACGTGTGACCATTTGGAGCATAAAGATCACTGCATTGGGTTACTCCAATTTTAATCTTATGCGTTTTCCATTTAAAGGGTGTCATTGTCCAATTTGGACATTGGTTGCAAAACTCAAGAAACAAGTACTGCATATAATCAGTGGTTTCAGCCCAAACCACAAACAGTCTTGTGCTTTCATTTTCAGGAAGGCATTATGTTAACTCTTTTACTGTATGTGTGTGTATGGATGTGAGTGTAGGTGGGGAGGTGACCAAGTCGCGGTTCACTCAGTACTTCCGGGGCAGCCTGTCTGGACTGACTATCCGACCAGGGAAGATCGAGAGTCAGAAAGTTATTTCTTGTCTGCAGGCCTGCAAAGAGGGACTGGACATCAACTCCCTCGAGAGCCTGGATAAGAGCATAAAGGTACTCGCACATACACACAGAAAGATACAGGAGGTACTTCAGAAGGGGGGATTTGGCAAAGCCAGTTCACTTATAATAGTACAGATCACTTGACAATGAAGAGGGTGGACATTCAAACAGACCGAGGCGATGACCACGGTATACTAGAATGTGGGGCTTTGTATGTACAGACACACACAGGAGGACACACCTTTTGTGTAGCCACACAGATGTCGATACAAACGCACAAGGTTTGTTAATCTTTCATAATCCAGCTTCCTTGTGTTACATGACACTCTGAGTAGAACTTGATAGTACTTCAAAACACCATCCTTTCATTTAAAACACTTTACTGCATTTAATTGTTACTTTTGAAGTTTACAAACCTTCCAAGGTGTCATTACTATTCAAAGTTTTGTAATAACAAAGGAACTTAACATGTTAAAACAAAATAGGCTGCTAACGTCATGTCTGTTAGGATTATTTGGATTTTAAATTTCACATTGAAGGATCAGATCATCGCTTTGTGAAAATGTTTATTTGCTTTCTTGCTGAGAGTTAGATGAGAGGGTCAATACCACTCTCATCTCTGTTAAATCTGAAGCTGCACACATTACAGTGATATCAATATTCTTTTCTAACACAAACGAGCATATTTCTCAAATCTACTTCATCCAAGCAGCAATAAAAGTCTTACAGCCAGTTTTCTAATAGCTGTCCTGCAGACACACAAAGACACACATTTTGATCACAATTGACATCAAAATACTTTTTATTTGAATCACCACTGGCTTCTTTGAAACTCCTCAGCTACCTAATTCTTCTTCCCACTTTTCACCGGCTCAACTAATCCATCTTGGTGCACTGTGGAAGATAGAGGGCAGGCAAGATGGATGGGGGTTTGTGTAGACTCAGAACCACCACCCCATCCACACACCCTCAGCCCCTGTAACTTGTTCTCTTTCTATTCTATCTTTATCTCTCTAGTCGTCCTCTCTCCTGCTGCTTTCTTTTTGCCAGTGGAGCTTCTTGTGTAGTGGTACAGCAAAGAGATCTTTGCCAGTCTTTTGAGAGGGAGAGGAGAGGAAAAGGGAGGACAGCCTCTCTAGGACCAGTGTAGTTTATCTTTTGAGAGCTGTCTCATTTTCCTCTTAGCCACACACTCATGTGGCTCTCATAAGTCTATGGGAAGCTTAAGGACGACATTTAGCCAAGCAGGTGGAGGGCTGGCACAGCACAATCGGAGGACAATGACAGGGGAGGAAGGACAGATAGAGGGAAGTAGAGGCAGGTAGACAGCAAGTACAGCAAAGGAGAACAGGAGATGAAAGAGAGGGGAATGTGTGAAGGGGAAAATGACAGTGGCGAGTGAGTGTATGGAGAACCCCATGGAGTGCTGAACTACTGTTGCCATGCTGTTGAGAGACGGCTTTAAGAAATGGGAGACACTCAGTGCAGTTCTAGCAGGAGTCCACTAAACCCTCTTTAAGGGCAGAATGGCCTCAAATTCTTACCATCAAACTCTGCAAGAGAACATATGCCTCTGTCAAAGAGTGTCAGTCCTCTGACTATTGTCTAGCCCCTTAACTTAAAGGGCCTTACTAGTCTTTTCCTCATGTTGTAGGCCATTTACAGAATGACACATTGGTACCATTGTGAACATTGGATCTGCCTTTGTAGGCCAAAGTTGCATTGCTGTTGCATGGCAAAGCAATATAGCTTTGCTTTGACTGATTACTCGATTCAAGCAAGTTTCTGCAAGCTGATGTTAATGCTGCTGTATATTGAAATGCACAGCAATCAATGGCTGCCTGGAAGTTAGATAAAAATGAAAATCATTATCACATGCTCTGAAATGGGTTTGGACCTTTTAGTTCATTGATTTGGTTTGCTGAATGTTGAACGTATGTTCGTGAGGTGCAAAGAAACGTGTTTTCAAGTGAATTATTTGCTCTGTGCCTGCTGGATGTGAAAATGAGAATGAAGGCTTACTGCGTTGTCCTCAAATGGCCAAAAAAATCAGTTAGTTAGTCAAAGATGTGTTGTACGTAATTGTCTGTTATAAAGGTATTGTCTTGAAGCTGTTTTGTTCCTGTTGTTTCTTTAACCATTTAACATTTCTGATTTCTCTTTCTACAGTTCCACTTTAACCCTGCCCAGTCTATTCTGGTAATGGAGGGAGAGGATTTGGACAACATAAACGCTGCTGTGAGGAAAGTTTCCTACATCAACTCACGACAGTTTCCCACACCAGGCATCCGACGTCTGCACATCTCCACCGCTGTCCAGTATGTACAACTCTACTTTTTTCTTTTGTCCTCTTGTTCTTACAGTTCTTCTCTTTCATTATTACTTTCTTCCATCTTGTCTACATTCATACACACTTCCTTTTGTTCTCTCCTACTGTTTCTGTTTGTCTCTGTTCTCTCAGATATGCAAAGAATTAACCCACCTTGACACTTCTGTTAGGTGTTAAGACAACATGGCAGATATAACAGCCTGACTGATATGTAATTCTCTTGCCACACATTGATACCTTCCCCCCTTCTCTCACTCCTCTCTCTCTGTTTCTTCTTACCGCTGCTGTCCTTTTCCTTTAATACACCATTTTCTGTTCCCTGTCACCACCAGGGGCCAGTTTTTACATTTTCATGTTATGTATTAATAATTCTGCCTGGGTTTTGCCAGAGGAACGAAAGAAAGAAAGATACATAAAGAGAGAGAGTGTGCGTGTGTGAGGAGGAGAGACTAGCTGATAAAACAGCCTCCCTTGGCAGGTTACCATTAAAATTCATGATTGTTTTAAATATATGTAGACCCCTGCAGCACAGCCCTGGGGGCTTATTCTCTGCCCTCCTGTTGGGTTCAATGTACATCCATGGGTACGGGAACTTCATGCATGTGGGTGTGTGTGTGTGTGCGTGTGTGTGTGTGTGAAGATACTGAAGCAGAGTCATCATAGCCAGAGGCACATCAGTTATCAGGAAATACATTATGCTAATGACAGCTAAGCTTGCATCATTGCTAAACATGAAGTTTTGCTTGTAGAATGGTGACTGGTCTGATGGTTAGCATAGCTGTATGAATACCGGCATGTGTACGAGGGATGGAACCTGTGTGTGATGCATTACATGTGGATACACACTCGGTTGGCAATTTATTAGGTACAGCTAGCTAAAATTAATACAGCCTAATGCATCAGTCCTACAATAACTCATGGAGATGATAATGTTCAGATCTTTTCAGGGAGGTATTGATTCAACTATATGCTCATTTTGGAGGCTACAGTTTGTGCTGCTGTTAAATCGTGGAAAGGGGTTTCTGTTATTTGGCATAGCCTCATTGAAATAAATGGACTAGATGCAATAATAGAAACATAACACAATACAAGTCAATAGCACCACAAACTGTCTTTCTAAAATGACCATATAGTCGAATCAATGCCTCTGCAAAACATTTTAAACAAAAACTGAACACAGTAAGTTTTATGATAGGAGGATTTATTACAGGCTTGTTGTATTAGACTGATGTTCCTAATCAAGCACCAACTTGAGTATTTGAAGCTAGTGTGTGAGGGTGTCCATTCAAAATAAGCTCCCATTTTGTTGCTTTATGCTCACACAGCATAGCATAGACACAAGGTATCTTAGACTGAGAAATATGGCATCCTGCTGTAAGATGTCAAAAACCCTTGACTCAGACAATATCACTCTTTACAATTAAATGGACAAACAATTGAATAAAGTCTAGCAATGCAATTAAACTAGTTTCTTGCTGACACTTATTAACTGTAGTTACCACAGGCACTATAAAAATGATTATGCAAACAGCACTAATCTTAATAACAAGCCTAGTGGGCTTCAGTTTCTTACACAGAGGGTGATTGAGAAACTGTGCTTACAGAATAAGTATTCACATCCAAATATGTGCAGTTTTTTTTTTTTTTTTTACTTTTGACATAAATAAAACGTCCCATTCTCACCCACCGGTGAAAGCATGCATGTAGTTTAGAAGGAAATATACTGTGTAAGTGGCAAATATAGTTTTTGTTATAATGCCTTGTTCACCCATTTCCCTTAAATATGCATAAATATAATTTAGATTTTGGGTTTTATTCAATGACATTGATGAATGACAGTCTTCACAAATATGTATTATTACACATAAATAAAAACAACCAATCTGTCAACATATTGATTCCTGTGATGCTTCGTTACTATCAAAGGCAGAAAATCCTTCTCAACAGCAATTTATGAGATGTTTTACCATGTTTATTTATTTAGTTTATTTAGGTTTATTGTCTTAAAGTAAACCATTGGTAGCACTGATCTGAGGTTTAACCAAGATTTAGTAGAAAGTCAAAACAAAGGACTAGTTTTACACATATTTCTTTCCAACTAAAATTACCATAACTACACAAACACATCAAATAAAGGACACAATATTAACAGATGGCAATAAAATGTTATTGTGAAAGGTCTTGCTTGAATGTGAATATAAGGTATTGTTGAATAAAACTAATACCAGGTAACTTAATTGGTCGGTCTCTGATTGTTTGATAATTAAAGAAATCCTCAGATGTGATGCTGAATTGTTTAATAGGAACAATAAATTTTGATTTTTTCTTTCTTTTGTCTGGGATTAGAGACTGGTGTACAGTGCACGTTTCCTTGATTAGGATTTGTCTGAAGCTGTGTAGAAAACCTGGCAGCTGGTGATATAAAATATTAATCTCTTGTCTCGAACTGAGGCCTGCTTATGCCTGTAACTTGCTGTGCATGCAGATAGACAAAACTTATACTAATACTTTCAAAATATGTCCATATACAATGGTGTATGCACTCTATACAGTATCTAGAGTATTTAAAAATAAATATTAAATAAAAATAATATCACTGAATGAACTGGTAATTATTGCACACATATACAGGCACTGAGATAATAAATATGTCTCTGTATTATTAACAAATTAATGGCTAGCTTTTATGAGAAGGGTTTTATTTATGAGGGTTTGTAAGTTCTAGATTATACATTTAATCTCTTTGCATTTAAGCACCCAGTGAAAGATGATCTTAGAAGTACATCTTATTCAGCAACAAAATGTTTGCTTCACAGGTTAAATATTTTCACTTATATTGGAAAGAAATACAAGTGTACAATATTAGTTTTTGAGTAATAGAAGTAGAACAATAGATGTAATAAGATTCAGTATGGTTTTCTGTTTTGAGGAATTTCCTACTGTATAGTTAGACTACAAAGCTTGGCTAAGGCTCAACTGAGTTAGCTACACTGTGAGAGCCTATGACATGGTCTCCCATCATAACACGTCATCAAGTCCTGACAAAACACCTCCAGCCCATCACAGACAGCGTCACTCCTCACAATTAAAAAGACATAATAATTATTTTCACTAAATGCAGTTAAATTTGTTTCATGCTAATGCCTAATAACTGCAATTACTCCAGGCATTGAAAAAATAAAACTCATGAGGGCTAATCTTTGCAACAGCCCTTTTAGGCACCTTGTCATATTTCCTTATAATTAAGTTGGACTGGCTCCAGGAATTTTTTTTTTTTTGGCCCAGCAGCTGTCTCCCTGCATCACTGAGTTTGTATCTCCCACTGCTCACAACAGTGGCATAGTGCCTGAACAGCGAACAAACACTTACTACTGGCCATCGCCACAGGAAAGAAAGGGAGAGATTATGTGATGCCCTGAAACCTGTTCTTGTTTCAAACCATGGTTCAGTAGTTTTCATCCAGCTGTCAGGCCATGTTTCAAGAATTAAAATAAAAAGTTTTTTAAGAATCAAAGGATGAAATTCCTCTCGAGCACGGGCTGACCCGGGGCCTGTGTGGAGTTTGCATGTTCTCCTTGCGTGGGTTCCCTCCGGGTACTCCGGCTTCCTCCTACAGTCCAAAGACATGCAGCTTAGGTTGATTGGTGAGTCTAAATTGCCTGTAGGAGTGATTGTGAATGTGTGTGGTTGTTTGTCTATGTGTAAGCTCTATGATAGACTGGCAACCTGTCCAGGGTGGACCCCACCTCTCGCCCAATGTCAGCTGGGATTGGCTCCAGAGCTATTCTAGAATGCATGTCTAATAACTTCATAGACACCACTACATGGGCCCAAGCAAAGGCTATCCTGTTGACTAGAAACCACTGGTTAAATATACTCGGTGGCAACAGGACAGCCCAGGCCCCCAGTTTGCTTGCAGTTACTAAGATGGCTGTCAGTCTTATCCCTGCTCAGCCACACCCGTTTACTGTGCCATGAAATATCAGAAGATATAACACAACAATTACCTTTCTACTCTCCCTCGCTGTCCTAATAGTATTATAGCATATTGAAAATATTAATAACTAATGATAGAATAGTAATATAGCAACCTAACTATAAGCTAAGATGGGAAAACATATGGAGAGAAATCATATGGATTTATGCATAGTTTACATTAGAATGTAGATGAGAAAATAGTGTTGCAGCCTGTTTTTCCAATGCAAGAAATAAGCTTGATATTTCTTCCTGCTGCTGGTTACAAAGCTATGGTAGGGAGAGAAAGCATCTCTGTCCCTCCCAGTGACAGATGTTTGTGTGCTTGAAAAGCCTTTGGTGAAATGTAAAAACCAAGATTTGCTTGTTTGTTCAGCTTTCATGGCTTACATCACCCTCACCACCCCCTTCTCTCTCACCCTCCCTCTGTCATTTTTTCATTTTAATGTCTCTTTCCATTAAATTGATGTGTAATCCGCAGTCTTTGCTCAGTATAGCTGTGAGTCGGGTGTCTGCACTCATTTCTTTGAATATGTTTATGTCCACTGTGAGCTCAAAGCTAGCTAGCTCAAGTTCTGGAGAGTCAATATGTGTTTCTCCATTCAAGGTTGCCAGTGGATGCTGTGCACGCTGACAGGGAAAAATAGAGTCAAATATGCACATATTAAAACACAGCAGGCACGCTGCTGCAGGTCTCTGTGTCCTGCCTGAGCACTGACAGAACGTATTATTCCTTGAATAACTGCATGTACTGTGGTCTGGTTTTGGACTTAGCTGCTTTTGTTTTAGTGCAGCTACTGTAAGAGGTCCTGTTGCTGATGATAAGCTTTATTAGGTGATGTAATGGTTAACAGCTCTACAGTCTGGCGCTGCATAGGTATATGGCACTTTGTGTGACTGTCAGAGTTACTTTAGAAAATGGCCTCACATGCTCCTCTGTGCTTTCTGTCACCCCTGGGTGCTGTGTATCAAGTGGAAGGTCCTTATATAGGTGACTGTATGACCTTCACTGAACAGGGTCAGTCATGCTGAGTGAGATCAGCAAGAGGATGAAAATTACATAAAGCACTTGACAACACTGTTGTACACTGCTGAAGAACAACGTACTGTGCACATGGGAGACACAGTGTGTATGACGTCTGGGAGATTGTGGTCGGTATTAAAGGAAAGGTTTGGCATTTACTTTTTTAGATGACAATAAAACAAGGAGCTTGATACCACTGTCATCTGTATGCTAAACTTTACTTATTTATAAGGACAGTACACATTAATCAGTGTTTTTGTTAATATAAGCCAGCTGGTTAATTTCATTAGATCACAAACCAATATCTTCACATGCACAGCTAATTTTATTTAAAAAAAAAAAAGACCACCAGACCAAATCTTTATATCTCCGTCTGTCATCCCCTTCTCCATCGCCAGGTGTTTTGGTGAAGACACTTGTATCACCATCCCTGACATCGATGCGGTAGTGATGGTGCTGCAGCCCAGTGAGCCCAGGATTACCATCACTGGAGTGGAACGACTGAGCTGGCCAGCCTCTGACCTCAGGGCGGCAGGAGGCGTAGCTCTGTTCCACGACCTCCACATCATTAGCACAGTGACCAGGACTGATATCACCACACAGCACACAGGTATGGACTATTATTATTTCTGCAGTATTAGCCACTTGTTCTGGTGTAAATTTACCATCCCCTTGCATCTACACCACCCCTAGGGCAAAAGCTGCAGTCAGCTTCAGTATCATCTACAGGAATGATATTGTCAATATGACATTTTGACTTAAATGTACATTTTGATCACTTTATTACTTTTAAAGTTACAAATGATTGCAGTTTCCATTGCAGTGAATAGTGTCTTAAAATACTTGTAATGTACTTTCCTACTGATAGAAGTTTGAGTGTACGGTACATCACAAAGTGGGAGATACATGCGTCCCTACAGGTAGAAATCTGTCTTGAATAAATATTTCAGCTGTTTTTCATATTGATAATGCGTTCACTGATTCATGAAGTCCCATAGCCGATACAGCGCCACCTGACTCGCTATCAAAACAAACCGTCAGAGAAAGCTCAGCATTTCATAATGTCTCATGAGGCTGCAAATCAAGGTTTCTTTCATCTGGTACGCCTAGAGGCGCAGCAAACTAAAGTTGTGCTTTTGCTCTCACACTGGCAAATTCTCCAACTTGGTGAGAAAGGTTATCAAAACTGCAATGAAGTACTAAGATGTTAGTTCTTTTGACTGTCAAGTCTCGTATCATAATTGATATATAATTTGACATGTTCCCAGAATGAATATGTGGGCTTGTACAAGAAGGGTTTAGCTGCAGCAAAGAAGAAGATGGTGTGGGTCTGTTAAAATCAGCTTCTCCTCCATTTTCTTTGTGGCCTGTCAGGTTCTCTGCAATTGGACGCGTCCAGGTGTTGTCACCGAGCGCTGTGCCCAAGTTGAACTTTCTTTAACTTCAGCACAGCATGCAGGGACCGGCAAGCGTGACCTTACGTTGTGCTCAGCCTGCCTCAGCAGCGACACATAGAAATGAATGGGTTCGATAGCAGAGTGCAGCACCCACCCCGTCCTATCTGAAAACTGCTTTAGTCACTTGAATAAATGTGTGTGTATCCCCCTAGAGTTGAAGAGTTATCAGAGGAGTTTTAATATAAAAATACTATGGATATACAGTAGGTGGGCTGGATACAGCTCCACCACTCAGCCTTGCCTCATTGGCCACTTGTGGTGCTGCAGCAAAAAGTAAGTAAAAGTACTAATATCACACTGTAAAAGTAGCCACATATATGTGTGGTGTCTGTTGCGGAGTCTGACAGGCACTCAAGCAAAGGTGCATATGCAATACCAGTAATAAGCAAATGTGCACGGTATGATAACCATCAATTTTCATACCGAGGTATAGAATCTGGCATACCACTGCAGCCCTAGTGGCAAGAACAGCCTGGCTGGGCCAAACTTTGCCCCACATACCTGCCACTTGCAGTCAATTAGGAGCAGATTAGCAGAATGGGAGGAAGGTTTTAGCCCTCCATTGTGTGTAATGCAGCGGAGGAGGAAGAGTAGAAAGTGGCATTGCTTTCAGGAGTCAGTGGAGCTTTCTGATAGTGAAATAGAGACTGCTGCTGGGGGGAAGAGATTAGCTGGAAGCCAGAGAAAGACAGAAATAGAAAGAAAGAAGGGAGATGACGTGTGTGTGTGTGGGAGAGGCACATAATGAGCAGGTTTTGTGATCTTGCAAAGTTTAACAGATTGGAAATACTGTAAATCATTATTCTTTTGCAGGGCATTCAAGCTTCCATTGGACCCTGTTAATCACCCCCTTGCCCTCTTCCATATGTTGTGTGTCTGTCATTTATTGTCTTTTTATTGATTCTGCATAGCACCAGCTCTTTCCTGTTCTGTACAGTATCTGTTCGAGACTTAGTCTGATGCCTTTAATATAAGCCAAAGTCAACGGTTCTTTCTTAAGTTCATCTTTAATGCTTAATATTTTGATCCATTTGGTTTCATGGTCATCTTCTGTTCTTTCTCTAATCTTCTGCTTTGCTTTGCAGTTTTTCTTTAGCCTTTTTCACTCCCACTCTTTCTACACTCACTGACTCTCCCGGTCACTCTCCAGTCTCCATTCTCTTCTTTACCATTCTTTTCTAGGAGCTCAGTTCAATCCCACCCACACCGTTGTTCTGATCAGTGTTGGCTGCATGATCACAACAGACTGTTCCAGGGACAGCCCTGCACTGCTGTTCTATTAGCGTGTACTAGCTTGTGTCAGCTATTGCACCTATATCTTTTTTTAAATAGTTCTCCGTTTAGCTGCAGTTAACACCAGGGCATGGCAAATGCACAAGTCAGATGGAGTAAGTAACTGTGACAGACCTCGACAACCAAACAGTAAACTGATCGAAAACCTATGCTGATAGTTGTAATAGAAATATTTTTTCTTGATCTGTTAAAGTGTAGCATAACACAGCAGTTAGAGAAGAGTCAAAAAGTCAGTAAACTGAGGCAACAATGTCACCTACATGGAAATATTTAAAGTTTTATCATGAGAAACGTCTTTTTTTTGGCTAATCTGCTGGCAAACATTCACCTACCGGGAGATACAGCACACGAGCAGCATTTATTTGAATTCATTTTGTGTTTCTGGCCACCAAACAAATATAGAGTAAGCACATATTGTCTTTTTCAGAATTAGTTTTATTTTTGTTTTTTTTTCTTTGCTAAAACAGTTGCCTGCTAGAACTTGCTAGCTACTCACTCAAAACAATAAGCTAAGAGAGTAAAAAGCAATGTAAGAGTAAATGAAAGTGTTTCTTGCAGCCCCTTTTCACATTTAAAGAAATTCCTTCATATGCAAATACACCACAAAAGTTCCTTCTTGTCTGGAACACAACTTTCTGCCCGTTTTGCTCACTTTCCCCCCTTTTCTAGCCTTCCTCTGTTCCTCCCCTCCCAAAGACCCCCATCCAGACACACCTATCCATCTTTCTCCAGTGAGAACCCGTTAAATGGGCATAGCCAGTTCCCTCCCTTGGGTCATGTACAGTGAGGGAGAAGGCTGGATAGCAGTGAGAGATGGAAGCTAGTGTTTAGCAGACTGCCAGAGAGCCCCAGCAGCCACCCAGCACTGCTGTGATGGGAGCTGTCTGAGAGAGCTTATTACCACAGCAGCTCACGGCACTGTCTGTGTTCTGAGGGTTGATGAGTAATTGGAGTCTGGGAGTAGGAGAAGGTGTGGTGTGTCCTGTACTGTTTGCATAATGGTTCCACAGAATGGCCCCAGTTTTCTTCAACAAATGTTTAACAGTGGCAGCAATAATTACATTGTCAAATGACAGTTAAGGGCACATACTGTACACTAAACACGAGGCACGTTTGGAGCAGTTTATTTGATTTACTGTATTTATTTGGTGAAATAACAACAAAGGCATCTGAACTACAGTAATGACACTGAGGTGTCTGAAAACTGGCTTCCGAGAGAAATGCAGTGCAGTTCATTAGAAGTGAGAACATGGGCTATGCTAAAAATAGAAAGTTCCTCTTGCTTGTAAAACCCAGATCAACAAAGTGAGGTGAGGCTAAACTGAGCTGAGCTTTTTCAAGGCAAATTGTGTGTGTGTGTGTGTGTGTGTTTCTAGTACATCGACCTGGAGTGCTGGAGGAGATCATACACAACTTGGACTATTGTGATGTCCTGGTGCTGGGGGAGGAGCTGAGGGCAGGCCAGGAGTCTCTCCAACTGCAGCGAAGCGCCCTGCTTGGAAAGCACCTCGACGCCACCAACTCCACCTCTGGCATGTCAATATACGGTAGGTTACTGTGGTAACACCAATACCAACACCTCTGGTGTGTTCTCAGACATTTGGTTTCCATGATAACACTCAGTCTGTTGCTACTATTGTAACAGCAGCTCTTCTTTTTCTCTTTTTTCAGCCTTGCACATGTGTAAAAGTTACAAATCTACACTCACCAACCACTTTATTAGGTACACCTGTACACTTGTATGCAATTCACTGCGACACTTCCGCCTTAACATCTGTGTTTATGAAGCTCAAACTGTTTGTTTTTAGTGAAGTTATCATAAAAAGATAACATGTTTATCTTTGAGGTCATAGTTAAAGGTGGTGTTGTACTGGACTATTCAGAGGTGTTCCTAATATTCTGACCCTCATGTGTGTAGTCCACCACCTTTAACTATGACCTCAATAATAAACATGTAATTGAATTTAAACATTTATGACAATTTGACCAAAAACTAAAACATTTTGAGCTTCATAAACAGATGTTTTAAGGTGGAAGTGTTGCATTGGAATACACACAACTGCACAGGTATGCCTAATAAAGTGGCCAGTAAGTGTACGTTTCCCACGAGGTCACATAACTATCTCTGGTGGTCTCTGTCCCCACTGTAGGTGTAGACTCCATGTCCAATTATGAACAGGTGATCAGACAGGTACGCTATTATAACTGGCGGCCCGCACAGCTAACAGAGAGAAGGTTTCGCCTCACCTGCTCAGAGCTCAATGGACGCTACACCAGCAACGAGTTCAACCTGGAGGTCAGTCTGAACTTACAGCTTGACTAGTGTGGGTTTTTAAAGTTCAGTAGTGATACAGATAGTTTTTAAGAGTCAAGTTGCTAAAGTTTTGTGCCAGTATTTGTATCTTTACCTTTCAAACATTATGTAATGATCAGTTCTGTTGATCAGTAGAAAAACTCGAAACTTAAAAACCCTTAGTAACAATGTGAAAGCAGAAGTTTGCAACTTTCAAACCTACTGTATGCCCAGTCAATTTACAGGTGGACTGTAATCGAGTGCTTGACACATCAAGGAAAATTAAAGGATAAGGCCAGTCATTTTCTATATTATTATTTTCAACACTCCTGATACAGAGACTAAAACCAACACTGAATTGCCTCTACTCACGATTAATGTTTCAGTCTGTGAATCCTGGATTAGTTTATTCGTCTGTGCCATAGACCTCTGCTGGTATTCAAAAAACAATTACAGACACATCAGGGAAACGGCCCACTGCACTTTGTGACATATTTCGAAACACAAGATCCTAATATTCGTTAAAGAGTATCCAGAGATCTTGCGCATGGGCAGCTGACTCTTGCTTATTTCAGATACTGTAAAAGGTTATGACTGTTCAGAGCCTTTGGCCAACATTTTAACAAATATCAGGGTCTGGTGTTTCGTAATGAAGGAATTGTCCACCAGTGCAGTGATGTGTTTCCCTGGTGTGTTTTTAATGGTCCTCAAACAACAATGGAGGTTTATGGCACAGATGAATAAACTAATCCAGTTCTGACAAATTGACAAAAGCCCCTTTTACACCGGCCATTCATTAAAGAGTGTTGTGCCAATTTTCTGCCTCGCCATTCTGTATAAATGGTACGATCTCAGCATGGGAAGGGTCAATGTTGACCCTCCAAAAAATGCCGTAACAAGAGCTAGTATTTGCGTCTACCTCCGCATGGGAAGGGTCAATGTTGACCAAAAAATGCCGCAACAAGAGCTAGTATTTGCGTCTACCTCACCCCTAAACATTAATCATGAGCAGAGGCAAATTGTTGTTAGTCTTAGCCTCTGTATGGGGAGTGTTTAAAATACTGTTGATATAAACCTGTGCACTTGTGTGCAATTCAATGCAACACTTCCACCTTAACATCTGTGTTTATGAAGCTCAAAATGTTATTGGTGAAAATGTCATGAATGTATAAATTCAATTATATGTTTGAGCTCATAGTTTAAGTTGGTGTTGTACTGGACTACATTGTATTCAGGTGTTCCTAATATTCTGACCCTTTAAATACAATTTAGTCCACTTTTGTAACATGAGCTGGCATAAACACGTTCCTTCTTGCACATCAGGATACGTGTTCCAAACCCTCCTTAAACACGTGACGATGTAAAAAACATCTGATAAACAGCTCAAAAATAATAAATGAAGTAAATGAATGAAGTAAATGTTGTTAATACCATTGAGGATAGTCAGCAGCAATTGCTATTTGTCACTGGAGACTTTGCTGCTTTTTACTACAGAGTGAACCAAAGTGCTTGAGCTGGTAACAGCTGATTCAGCTCAGGTCTCTGAGCAAATTTAAAAATGAACCTTCATAGGCAATTCAGCTGCATTTGTTTCATGCCATCTCGCTGAAAACAGCATGTGAAGCGTGACAAATTTAAATTCAGTGTACCAAAAATATGCAGAAAAGGTCTTCACTGTAACTCAAAACGTAATGTTACACTCAGGCTCAATTCAGTGATGAAAGATGACTGAACAAGCTGTTAGGCACCAGCCGTGCTATACAGACACAATGACACAGCCTGGTTCATGTTATCAAGAGAAGGCACATTGAAAACTTCAACCCCTGAGCAGTTCCATGGTGAATCGGCCCGCTCTAGCAACAGAAACATTCACCCACGTGTCACGTGTAATACATGTTTCATATATACAGCTCTGCTGTATCCTCTGTTTCTGTCCCTGATCTGAACAAAGTTTGACAGTTTTATACATTCTCTGGCGTTTACTTGGACGAGGCAAACTGCTGCATTAAACATGGGTTGGATCTTGCAGTGCGTTCAGTTGAATCCAGTTTAGATTTCACCTTCCTGTACTGAGGTGACCCTGTCCCCTAAATGACACAAATACATTTGCAGCCTTACTCTGGAATATGTCAGCTGTATGACTCAGGAAAAGATTAAGTTTAGCTGAGATGGGAGAAATTGTGACTGAATGGACAAAGCTGTAAAATGTTGACTTGAATCTTCATGTTCTATAAAGCCATCTGCTTCCTCTGTTCCCAGGTCAGCGTGCTGCATAACTCAGAAACTGTAGAACATGTCAATCACATGGTCGCGTCGCCACAGTACATGCAGGCAGTCCACCATCCATCGATGATCCACGACCTGTATCCAAGCCACAGTTCAGGTAAGAAGATTCATATTAGTTTAGTGTGTTTATTGTTTCTATTTCGTGCTCTGGGCAGATGCCAAAGGCAGCCTCTGAAAACCACGCCCACCGGGGGAGAAAACATTTCATCGCACTCCATTGACTTTGTATTGCGTCTTTTTTCTCGTTAAAAAAAATGAAAAATGCCTAAAAGGATGCACTACTAAGAAGGCAAAGCACCCTGAGTTGAGGTTTTAGAAGCTGCCAAACAAAAGTGGATAAGATGTGGGGCACTAGCAGGAAGAACAGGGAAACGGGGATCTTAACTACAGCAGCTCACTAACACATGGCACGGCAAAGGAAAATGAGCAGTACAGTTTTATTTATTTCCAAAACAGAGCCAGATCCAGAGGGAGGTTGGGGTGCAGTTGATAACTAAAATAATGATGGGTTAAATCAGCTGTTAGCAAGCTGCATAGCTTTCTGATCTATAACACACGTTGCATACTGTCAAAATGCTATAGCTTAACTTACAGAAATATAGTAAGCTGACATTTGGAAATTTGGCCTAATAGTGACAAAATGTTTGCTGCATATCAAGTGTCAGGATCCCCCCCATTCCCTGTTCTTCCTGCTAATGCCTCATTTCTGTCTTTAAGCTTTTTTTCTGCAGCTTTTAAAACTGTGTTCTTTGCCTTCTTGGTAGTGCATTCTACCATGCAGCAGCTTTTAGGCTTTTTATGGCTTTTTGTTAAAAGACTGGGTTGTCAAAGAAGCACTGTCGAGCAACAGAGTCAGTGGCATCAAGATGAATTACCCCACCCCCACCCACTGTGGGCGTGGCCTAAATGCACTGTCAGAGACAGAATGAAAAGCACTGAGAATCAGACTGCTCTCGCCAGCCACTGCTGCAAAAACGGAGCCTGTGAAGAGTTTTCCTGGCAGCTATCCATCCCAGGGTAAACGTGGCTCGATCCAAGGGGGAACACTCAGTTTCGCTCTCTAGTTTGTTAATTGTACTGTTCATCAGACATGGTCCTCAGTGAGAGAGAGAGAGCAGTGTAAACAGGTCCTCTCAGATGATGCAGCAGGTTCATTCCCCTCCCTAGTCGCATATTAGTGAGCTGAAGCAAAGAGAACATGGTGAGGACGAGAGACACTGGTCTTAATCTACGACACGAGAATAAATTATTCATCAGGCTCTAATGGATTCTACTTAGAGTCCTAGAGATTTCAGTGGCCAATGCTGTTAACAGTGCTGAGAGATGGGGGGGAAGTGTGAGAAAAAGAGGTCAGCTGAGCAGAGAGGGTAGCTGGAAATCGGGGCACGATATATGGCAAAAGGTTCAAATAAAAAAGATTCTGTTTAAAGTTTCCGCCATGGCACATGAGATCATACTGCATGTAGAGGAAGTGAAGGAAAAACATCAGGGGTTGTGTGAGTGCATACAAACCCTCACCCAAGTTACTCTGAGGGGCTGCATGCAGCTTCACTCAGACGATCAAAGTGGATTAATTGTGAAAATCTTGGAACTAGACAATCACATGATCATCTGAAGAGCCCTGTGTGAGTCTCACCCTTGTTAAACACACACACACACATCAGTAGGAACTAGAGGAGAAGGCAGGCACTGAGAACTTATTTCACTGGGCTGGAGATCACAGCAAAAGCAATAAACATTTTAGATCAAGAGAAATCCCTCAGTGTATGTTTGGGTTAGGCCTTCAAATAGCGCTTATGATACATCTTTACAGATGTGTTCTACACTGAGGCCAAAATTAAATGTGTTTAAATTTTTTATAGAAATTTATTTGATACGATCTGAAGCTTACACATGGCTATCAGTAGTATCCCCCACTCCCCACTTCTTTAGCTCAGATTCTTCTGAATGCAAGCCATGGGCGCAAAAACTGCACTAAAAGTTTAAACAACACTGAGCGAGTTATTGTGCTTTGTTCTCACGGATGAGTAAAAGTAAACACGGGGAGCAGCGACGGGGGCTCAGAGGTGAAATGAGGATGTTTTACATTTGTTGGACATTTATGGAGAAGCTTCTGATCAAGCCAAGGAGGAAGGAACATGTTGTAACTGAGCAGTTTTTGAGGAACTTGCACGAGCACTTGCCAGCATGAATGTGAGCCACCAACACAAAAAAGGTTCTGACTATAAAGATCAGAATTGAGCTTTAAGGCCTGTAATGTGAACGTAGCCTCAGAGTTCATTTAACGTTAACTGCATGTCTTCGGACTGTGGGAGAAAGCTGCCGGACTACCTGGAGAAAACCCATGCAGGCACCAACTCCACATGGAAAGGCCCTAGGTGCCATAACATCCTGACAGTTCATCCTGAAGGAAACATGAATGCGTACCAAATTTTATGACAATAGGTCCAATAGCTGTTATATTTCAGTCAGCTCCATCCATCCATCTGTATACTCATGAAGCAAATTTAGTATTACACTCAGTATATGGAGGGACTTACTGAGGCAGCTTTGGCAGGACTACATTGCTTTTAATTGCTTCTTTTATCAAAGCTGAGTCAGTTCTGTTTCTCTCATCCTGGTCTCAGGTGTGCCGAGTGCTGCCACCGTGGTAATTGTAATGTGTATTACTGCCTTGGTAGTCGTAGTGGTGCTGGGGATTTACCGCATCCACCTCACCCACCAGCAGGAGGTCAAGCTGGTGGAGACGGCTAAAGAGGCAGATGCGCCCTGGGACGATTCAGCTCTGACGATCACTGTCAATCCAATGGAGGTAGGAGGGGGGGAAGACACACTGATGCTCTGCTTACTAGAAGTTATGATTTCTTTCTTTAAAAACAAGTTTCTGAAAGTGAATATTTCTCACAACAGAACCTGGAGGAGACCCAGGCTGCAGAGGAGGAGGTCACCGAGGAGGAGGAGGAAGACGAAGAAGAGGATGACGATGATGATGAGGAAGAAGAGGATGACATCACCAGCGCTGAGTCAGATGACAGTGAGGAGGAAGTGGATGTCCAGTTACCCAGGATGCAAAGCCTGAGCAAAAAAGGCCAAAACTGGGACAAAACAACAATATCTTATTGAAACACATCGTCATTCCCTTACACATTCTGCAACAAGCCCATACTGAAACCTCAAATTAGATGGTTGAAACACAAAAAAACTGATGTTGATGCTCTAAAAATGAGGTAATGTCTCCCCCTACTGGAGTGCAATGATCTAACAATAGCCTTGTTAGCCCCCCCATTTTATACAGTGGATAATGACATTAGAACTGCTCATCGATTCAAAAAATGGACAGCTTGCCAAATTTAGGTCATTCCCAGAGAGATGTTTTTCCTTGAATGATCTCTCTCCCATTACAGTCTACAGTACAACTACAGTCCTTAATGAAATAAAGTTGTTTGAATCTCATTTTATCAGTTGAGCCCTGCACCATAGGTTCAGTTTGATGTCAGATTTCACAGTAAGATTTCTGATGTCCCATAAAAAAATGCAAAATAGTCTTAACCTAAGGAAAGTGAGTTGCAAAAGTAAAGAAACTGACTATTTTTGGTTTCTATACTTCCTGTTATTTATCAGTCTTTATGCTAGCCTATAGGGCAAAGCCAGGTGATTTTACAAAAATAGAATATTTTCAATGGTACTCAAAAACAAACAAAAGGACAAAAAAACATGCTCAGTGTGCTGTCGCAGGCGTCACGTTGAACTTTTTGGGAAAGACGGAGGTCACCTTGTACATTTTGTATGCTCCTTTCTTGTAAATATTGAGTATAGTAGATGACCGTGCCCAACCCCACTTTGTCCACCCAGAGAACACACATGCCACCTCTTCACATGTACGTGCACACCCTGAACCCTTGTCTTTACAGAACCGACCCCTCAGCCCCCCCCCCCCCGGCGGTTTTCGCGCTCGTGTCACGACTGTTCAGATCAATCCAGCTGACAGTGACTTGGGTTTGTTTGGATGGATGTGCCACTGCCTCCATAGTGACTGGATCAGTTCAATCTTCACTAGGTGAGAAGTTAACGTAATAATATGCAGGTATAAATTGTGTAAGTCACACAGCGGGGCTACGACAAAGAAGAGCCTCATCATCGTCACGGAAGAGGATTAGGATCACTGTACACAGTTTGAGTTTTTTTTTTTTCCAGAATGATGACTTCAGTGGGAATTCTGAAGCTAAAATCAGGAGTCAAATTTTGCACAGTGGCTTTAATTCTCTTCCGTCCGTACTTATTGCATGTATAGAGCCCAATATTTGCCCAAACGTCTCAGGTGTGGTCGCAGCAGCAAGGTCCTCAACAGTGAGTACTTAGTGAGACAAAGCTGCACCAGTAATTATATCATCCGCAGTCCTGTTACTCATTAAAGCTGCAGAGCAAACTTGTTATTAGTAAGTGAAAAAGGAGAAAAGCAATGGAACAGACTACTGGATTTTCAAGGACAACACTTCAACAATTGATCAAATGGCTTCACTTAATGTAAGTAATATTTTGAAGAGATGTTCAGCTCATTGTTTTGGTTTTGCTACTTACAGTCTCTTTGTGATCGTCAGCCACAGTCCAAGCAGCAGCGGGCAGCTGTTTTCAGTACACCACCTGCCCAGCAGCAAATAGATGAGCAACAGAAAACAGACTAGTTGGTGAAAATATTGATGCATTCAACAGTTAAAAAGCCAGATATTTTTCTCAGGTGGATATCTCTGGCACTCCATTACATACTCTTGTTAATTATCCCCTGACGTATACTCAGATACCAATGTACTGCATTAGATAAACTAATTGAGTGGCCTGGGCAGTCGATACGAACATCATAGCAAGCTGAACACACGTGACTGACACACTGTACACATCACTAAAGCAAAATTAGCGGTTGCAAGAAAGTATATCTGAGCCAAATTACTAAGAGGCACAGCGACTGCAGTTACATCTCACCTGCAAGACAATTGCACAACGTGAATGGAAGAAATTTAGGTCTAGTGAGTGATGTCACATTACATAAATCCCACTTCATTAGCAGCACTTGTGGCCACCAATTGTAAAGTTGCCTGGTGCAACTTAAAGACATAAGGATGGAGAGGTGACCACATTTGGCAGTGTCACGTTTGACTTGATCAGAAAACCCAGTCAAAGGTTTTTTCATCTTGAAGCGAATGGGCATTATTCCCTGCTAGTGGCTCTCGACTCCAGTCCGTCGCTACCTTTTGATAGCAAAGACTCCACAGTTTTGTTACACAAAAAAATATGTGCAGTGACTGATGGGACAGTCTGCCACTGGGCGATCAAGGTTTAGTTAAAGCACTGGAAATGTTTCTACTTCTACCCTGGTGAGATTTTGACTGTTGTCCTGTGGGTGTAGCTGGGAGAACCTACTGTTTGTGTATACTGTAGCTCTGTTCATGTAACAGTCTCATCTGTTGTTTAAGAGTTCTCCTCATCTGCTGTGACACCTGGTCTTGTGATGTCACAACCCCTCAAAGTTCTGCATTGAACCAAGCCCTAGTGTTGTCCTGATGATTATTTTAGAAGAGGAGGCCGGTGAAATTAACATGGAAACCTTGTATAATGTGTTCAAGTCTTTTTTTTTAATTTCTTTTTTCTCTGGACTCTTCAGTCTGTTTTCTTTGGAATGGTCACTACAGCACTTTCTGTAAATTGGCCAATAAAAACTTGTTTTGGAATCTAGCTGAGCTCATGTGATTGTGTGCGTTTCCTCTGTGTTTGTGCATTTTACAAGCTTGAGGTTGCCTTCGGCCCAAATTATTCCTTCAACTACAATTTAATCTTTAATCTGCTGTCTGAGTAAACATGTTTAAAATGTTGTAACAGTGGAAAACTGCAGTCGGGGATAAATTTACTGTTTGTGTAAAATATTCTTGCCTATTTTATAAGCTCATGTACAAAGAGTATGGCTGCATAAATAGGCTTTGTTTGCAGCTTTGAGGAGCCCTACATTTGTATTAATAAAGCAGACCTACTTTATTTAAAAAACTTTACACTGTCGCTCAGTGAAATGTCAGCACTATGAAAAAGCACAGCAATGAATAGGTTGTTTTTGTTTTGTTTGCATATCGTCAAGATCTTTGGGACTAATTTGCCAGTTTCACAGAAATGGAGAAACAAGAGTTGGAAAAAAGTTTGAGAGATAAGTGAAGTTGGCTGTGGAAGTTGTACTAAGATGCAATTACAGTAGATAACACATTTTCCCGCCATTTGGACAATTCTAGTTAACGTGAGGATTTGAGGTTAAACTATTAGATTTGGTGTTCTCGTCTTGTGGCAATGTTCATTTTCAATTAATTATTTTCTTAATTGTTAGATCCCTCATTCCCTCCATTTTTCTCATGACTCCCAAACACATTTCAGGCTCAAACGTTCCTTCCTTTAAGCCCTGGTTTCATAACAGCAGCGCTTAATTTAATGACAACAGCACTCAGTTTGTGAACATTTCTTTAAAGAAGTTAAGTTTAATTGAATGCAATGGTCCGTTCATGTTCTCAGCTACTTTCAGGGGAAGATGCGGCACTGATCTCTTCTGGATTATCCTTTTATAAAAGACTATCGAAAAGGCCAACGTAGCACGGTAAAGCCAGTCAGCAAGGGAATGTTAAACAAGACGCCACTAAGAGTACGTCTATGCTTCCTGAGGTCCTAAACTGTTTCAAGTATTTGTGTTTGCATTTCAGTGATTAATCATGATTGTACTTTGAAAACAGACATTCATTTAGTGTTGTGATGTATAAGATGCAGTAGGGGCGGCCTCAAGAGAAATGGGGACTATTGCAGTGTTGTTCATTTACAACACCTTTAATGGCTAAATTGGTAGTTTATATACTGTGAAGATCTGTATTTTGAAGCAATATGTTAGTAAGATAAAGCAACTAAAGTTATGACATGAAATGTTGTAAATTGATTTGTCCACACAACAAGTAAATGCCTTTAACTTTAACCCATTATCACTAGTATTACAACTACAGTAGGTTATAGCTAACATTGTTTTACATACATTAACATTCTTCTTTTTAAAATATTAGATTTACTTTATTTACTTATCAATTTGTTTATGACTAGTCAGTAAAATATTCTATGAATTGTCTTGTTACTGGAGTCACTGCTGTTGTGAGCAGGACGATGTCGCCATCTAGTGGACATTGACTATATCGAACACCTACAAACCGTTTTAAATCGGTGACCGATTCTGTTTTACACTTCCACATTGGCTCCCTGAGTCGCACTCTGTGTTTTTCAAACTCCGTGCCACAACCTGCTGAAGTAGTAATCATCTAATGTAGGATTTCAGACTTGAGCCAATTTAGAGATTAGCATGGTTTTTGAAAAATTAAAACCATGTAGCTGTTGTGAAATCAGTGTAAATGACGGCGGGGAGGGTTTCACAAAATGGCAGCGACACACCAACTTTGTACAAAGGCGTTAAAATATTCACAAAACATTTTGTTTTCTGGAGTAGAGAGCAGAGCAGGGGGAGCCCCAGGCACTGTCACCTCCACTCTCACAAACAGAAATAGATTGAGAAAAACTAAACAAAAAACTGTCTTCACTCAGTCAAGCTACTGTGCAGCATAAATATGTATATCTGTAATTATTACCTTTGTCCTTTCAAGTCATTGTCTTCAGAGATGGACCGATGCTGCTGTTTGCTTCTTATTGTTGTTTGGGTGATGGTCTGTATCAGGTCGTGACGTCCTGTCAATCACAGAAGTTGCCTGCAAGTGGAAGTTGTAAAAGTAATATTTAAATTAGAAGCATACCTCAGTAGAAAGAGATTACACTAATTTCCAGAATAAAGTAACCGTAACCATGAAGAACTACAAGGAGCAGTGATGAAAGTACAACTACTAAGGCAATTTGAGGCATTTTGCACACACATGCGCAGAACTACTCTCATAACAAACCAGACCTTACAGTGATTTGTTTGGGGGGGGATGAGCATGAAATGTGAGCAGGGGAGTGAAAAAGGCAGTGAACCACAACAAGATACAGGCAGTCATGTGATATTTTAATGTAAAAGCAGATGGTCACACAGTGATGCCTGGTGGGCAAGGGATTTACAAAGTTCAGCCACAGAGCTTGTGCACACTAACAACCAACACAACAAAACAAGACTGATAAATAAGAAACCTCAGCTCCAGTAAAACGTGCACCGAATTGTTCTTAAATATTACGTTTAGAGTCGGGGTTAGCATTCATCTGACAGTGGAGTCATAATGGAGGTTAAAAGTGTTACCACAGCATCAGTGGAAACAGTTTGCACTGCCATAAATCACAGAGCTGAAAGTTTGGGCGTCATTTAGAGAAAACCTGCTATTGGTAAATATGATACATTACACACATGCATTCCTTTCCTAGGAACTTCACTGTTGTGTAATGATGACAACTTCAGTGACATCTCTCTTCTACAGAAGCACACAAAACAAAGCTGTGGGTGGTTGTGTAGCCGACACGTATAGTGCACACCTTTTCACCAAGTGATGAAGCGATGGTGACAAATGGCCTGAGGGCTCATTCTTGACACTGGAAGCAGCAGTTGACAAAACGGTCTCAACTCGAGGTCAAGGAAAATAAATGGCCTTGTAATGTAAGCGGACCTCAAGTTGTGATTATAACTGCTGTTGGTTAAAGCTCTAATTTATTTTTATAACTATTCAGGAGCAGTGGAAGCAACACTGACATACTCACCACTTATGGTGTCAGGGCAGATTTGTTAGCCTATAGTGGCCAATATGCACATCCAGCATTAATTTAATTAATTAATTAAGTCCAAAGTTCACTCTTTGCTTCAAGAAGTAACTGTTAAGTGCAACTTCTAAGTCAAAATAGATGGCAAGTCTCAAAGTTGCTCAGAATCAGACACTTTGAATATCTACACTTCCAGG